TTCTTGGAACTAATGATAGAATGCAAGCTAAATTCTGCAGCTCAGTGCAGGACCTCTAGCATTTACGCTGCTTATACCTAGTTATGCCTGCCAGGTCCTTTGACCATTCGAATTGCAATTTCTCCGAGCTCCAAATAGTCCAATTTCATCATCAGTAATAACATTGCAAACGCTTGATACCGTCTCATAAAGACAGTAAGCAAAGTAAGTATTTATCAATATTTTTAGTTTTATGAGAGATGTCTCTAAAGCTATGGCATTCTGTATCTTGAGAAATGTGACCAGTTCACTCGTCATTGGAGAAGATAAACAGTAAAAGTTGATGCTTCCGCAAGCAAAAATTACAGTTACCACAACTGAAATTTCGATCTCAATAGCATGAATCTTCTGAACTGTAATGAAACAGTTTGATAACATTTCATTTTCAGGAGCCTTTATCTGCCAATGCTGGTCATACAGAGTCAACAGCGATTGAGTTTCAGTGCGTTATCAGGGTACAACAGAGAATACCACTTTAATTTTTGGTTTTCCTTTTGTAATGTTGAGTGTGGCGAGAAACAATGACAATGACAAATGACTGATTGACTGTACAAAGAAACATGGTTTATTCAGACAAATCGAACATGATCGGATCGCGACATGTGAACGACGATGACGATGCGCACACACCCTCCGGTTGCGTTGTTCGCCGCTAGGGGACGACACGAGACGGGACAATACACCTTTCAATAACATTTCATTTTTATGAGTCTGTATCTGCCAATTCTGGTCATGCAGAGTCGGCTGCGATTGAGTTTAAACGCGTTATCAGGGTAAAACGGAGAGTACAATTTTGATTCTTTGTTTTACTTTCAAGGATGGAAAAAAACAGTCCATTTTCTGTCACACCTTCAGGCATGAACTTTTCAGCTAAGGACTCAAATAAATGACAATTTAGGAGCCACTTGTCATGTATGGTTCTTCTGTATTAGTCCGTCCCTTTCATTACGTAGACCGAGAACCAAAGGTTAAAGTATAAATATCACCTATATTCAAGGCTTAATTTTATATCCTATGCTATGTGATCCCTCTCATACGATTCTATCGAACGAATGATTCTGCCGGTAAGTTAATTATGTGGAGCACCATCATATCTATGCTGGGAATTGCCAGGGAGATTCTGCAACCATCCGATTAAGGTAACTCTCACATCAATACAGTGGCAGGTAAAGTAAGCAGGTATTTATGAGAGATTTCTCAACTCGGGCATTCAATGCCCACTTTCCGTCAAAGAAGATGCTCTGTTGATATGCTGTTTCAGCCAAGAATATTTAGTCGCCTCAGTCTCAATCGATAGCTTTCATTATTCTGCCAGTTCTGGCTATCCAAAGTCCACATCTAATGAGTTTTAACTCACTTTCAGGGTGTGCCAGAGAATTAATTCCTGTATTCATTTTCCGTGCTAAATGAACCAGCTAATTTTCTGTCGCACTCTCAAAGTGGGTAAATTTGTCAGGCGAGGACTCAGATAATCTAGAGGTCAGGCGGCACTGATG